TTTTATCGTTTTCCCATCTGTCATGAACACACTTCCAATTTAACATGGACATTAGTTCAGTAATAGGGGTGTACATATCAGCATAAAGAAGGATTCTAGCAAGTCTATTTTGGAGAATTTGAAGACAATTAATATTTTTAGAACTACAATTTGACCAAACATTACTACAATAATCAAAACAAGGAAGTACAATTGCATTAGCAAGCAGTCTTAAAGCATAATTAGGAATGGAATATCTTAATCTACGAATGATACCAATACGTTGTGATAGTCTAGATGTAACTTGTTGTACATGATTTTTGACATAAATGAATCAAAAGTAATTCCAAGATATTTGAAGCTTTCAACTCTTTCCACATCATAATTGTTAATAGAAAGAGAAATACTAATAAACTTATCACGAGAAAACCTAGTGCCAAATAACATAAATTTAGATTTCTTAACATTAAGGGTTAGTAAATTAGTATTAAACCATGTAGCAATCTTACTAGTATTTGTATCAAAGACTTTAGATGAACAGGGTCAGAGGAAGAACATAAAAGGGTTGTGTCGGCAGCATACATGATACATTTAAAATCATTCTTCTTTTTTCAAAATGTTAGGACGAGAAACTTTTTTTTTTACTTGGCCTAAACTTTGAGCGACTTAATAGAGATGACATTTTCAAAGGCTACTAATCAACTTGGTGTTGTTTATTTTAAAGAGAAGAAAACATACTGTACTGTACATTACAGACAAGCAATACTAAATCTGAAACCATACGGATAATACAGTATAGATATGCAATACTACAGTATATCTGTGCTTGCCCTCTGTATTGTGTTGAATGTGCCTGTATCGTGTATTGCTGTTGCTACATTATTATTAGTAGTCGATCGAGTATTAGTGATCAACTATTCAACATCTGAAACCAAGGATATGCACTGCATTGAGCATTTGAGCATAAGCCATATTTATTTTTTGATGACACTGTACCTTTATATCAGTGGCATTCACAGCCTGAGGTATTGTCTTGAAAAAAAAGATAATTAATTGGTCCACTGCATAATGTTGTCTCAAAACAACAATAACTACAATACAATGAGCTTCATAAAGCATATAGGCCTACATTGCAAATTCCCAATAAATCGCAGATGTGCATTTTGGGCGTATAAACCATAAATAAACTTTCATTCGTTTGAAAATTAAAAAACAGTGAATTACTACCATTGCAAGTGCAAATTACTATCATCAAGCAGTGGTGCCACGATTACATATGCATGTGGCGGATGTATGTAATTAAGGTAGCAATCTGGATTCTAGGTTAGCCCTCCGTTGAAATAATTTAAAATCAGTGAATTACTACAATTGCCAGTGCAAATTACTACCAACCAGTGGTGCCACGATTAGGTATGCATGTGGCTGACGTATGTAATAAGGTAACAACCTGGATTCTTGGTTAGCCCTCCGTTGAAATAATTTATTTTGTCAAGAAAAACTGTAAAAGAAACAGGAACCAGGAAAATTTAAACAGACTTTAATTTTCCTTTAAACCATATTTATAGAGGGTGACCCTTCCAGCATATCCTAGAAGGTCGGTTGATATTCAAGGGGCCTCTTTAAATAAATGAAATAATGTGATGCTTTTATCAGCAAAGTCTTTTTTACTAAAAAATATTTAACTATAGTTTTGAATAATATCTTATTATTATTTTGACAATAAAGTTGATTTGCATCTTGTATCCTGTATCTAGGATAAGCTGGAAAGGTCACCTTCTATAAATATGGTTTAAAAAAGTTTTAAAAAAATTCTTTTATTTTCTTCACTTACCTGGTCTGGGCTAAACTCGGTCTTGTAGAAATAACCAGCAACGGTTAATTTCTTACTAAATGTTAGAAGGTCTGGGGGGTTATCCAAGCCCCACTGGTCAGAAGCAAATATTGTACCAGTACACCCTCCTCCTGTCTGCACCTCATCAACAACCATCCCCATACCATTCTAAAAATAAAGGAATACACCATTGATTGTAAATATATAAATATATATATAAGACAAAAAATGAGAGGTTCAACAGTAGCTTTGATTAGACATATTTATTACTATTTAGTTTCGTGCTACACATACATGGTGCAGCACTCTTCATACACTTGCTATTTATGTGGGTTGTTATTCTGAGTTTCACACTTAATGGCCATCATCAGACAACTGTAATTAGGTTGCGCATGCAGCAGTCAGGTGTCTAGATTAGATTAGACTATTTTATCTGAAGAGTGCTGCACCATGTATGTGTAGCACGAAACTAAATAGTAATATATATGTCTAATCAAAGCTACTGTTGAACCTCTCATTTTTTGTCTTTAATTCGCTTTGGTTTCATTACCATCGAGCACTCTGCTGATAGTATTTGCAACTGTTTTTATATATAATTATAACGTACAGTAGTATACTTGAGTATCATCCGATAAAGTACTGAATGCTAAACTTATCCGATACAGTACTGAATACTAAACTGTAGTGCATACAATAGTATACACATATTTACTGGGTTGAGGGGCATAGTTTGAAATAGCCTGAGGTGATCTGGAGGCTGTATTGTGTCCAAAGATGAATAAAACCCAGCAAATATTTGTTTTACATACAGCACCACTATATAGATTGTATTGATGTAGGCATTAGGGAGCATGGCTAGAACTATTGCCCAGATTTTAACCAATCAAATGCCTTGAATCTATGTAATCGTTATATTTATATTTATTCAGTATAAATGTGGGTTGTTATTCTGAGTTTCACACTTAATGGCCATCATCAGACAAATGTAATTAGGTGTTATCCTATTATGATGGTTCATGCAGCAGTCAGGTGTCTATTATTTTTAGTATAGTCTGGTTGGTGTTGTGGGGACACTACAGCCAGTTCAGTTCTTTTCTTGATTGTGTGTACTTGTTTGGCCATTAGGATTGCTATTTTCTCTTCTATGCCTAAGCTGCATTGACCAGATTTTCGTGTGTGTTAGATTTCTTTGATTTTCAGAGAATATTCATAGCCTTTCCTTTTTAATTCATGCCTCAATGATTTGGTGTGATTGATTTGAATGATCATGATTTGAATAATTGCTGTTTAAATGCTCTGCCTGATAGTCCAATGCATGAGTTTTGGCCCTCATCACATGTTATTGTAGCTCTATATATCAGTGCATTCCTCAGGCAGTTCTCTTGGTTCTTGGGTTTGTTTCTTTTTTGAATGATTTGTGAGTTTACCTGGGTTGTGATGTTACGAAGTCCCTGGAAGAAGTAGGGGGTGGCGTGATTATCTCCTCCTTCTGCTTGGATAGGTTCCACTATTAGACCTGCTACATCTCTCCCCTTAGCTGCATATTCATCAATCAGTCTTTGCACCTGTGAATTTCATTGATTGGTCGATTAGTAAATGTCAATAAATTAGTTCGCCCAAAGTTAATTACAATCAAAGTGACAAAAATGTGCTACAGTTATATGAATCTAACTACTGTATTTACATTATACACTGTAGAAACTTGTCTTTTTCACATTAAATTGACCTCTTTTGGAGAAAAAAATTAGTTTGCTATACCTCTGCCAAGCACCTATCTTCCTCAGCACGATTCTCTGCCAAGTGCATATCCAGTGGGTACTTGAGCGATGGGAAGGGGGCAACAGGCCAATCCATCGCAGGCATGTCAAGCTTGTGGATCATCTTGGAGTGAGTCAAGGATAAGCAACCTAAGGATGGATACCCGTCGGGAAAAAAACACAGAGGGAAAACATTTTATGTGTTTCTTACATACTAGAGTCAAAAATTTGTTTAAATAAGCCGTTGAAACCCCTAAAATTGTCAGTTTTTTTGGTGCTTCACTAGATTTTGAATGACGGCTAACCACACCATTTACACTATAGTCAGGAAGTGACCCCACCCTGTCAGGAACTTCGGTCCCCGTTGGGTAAATCCTGCCGCCACCCCTGAATGCTGAATAATATGCTCATCGTTAAACCTCATTACTAACATTATTTCATTTTTTTAATGACTTTACTTTATTACATATTTAAGTTTATTAAACTACACTCACCAATAGTACGCCCATGAAAACTGCCGTTAAAGGACATAAACGTGAACTGTGGACTGCCAGGGGCCTGAAAAAGTAACAAAAAGTATTAGCGACAAGAAATAAAGAAAACAAAAAAGAGTATTACAGAACATAGAGTATACAAAATGTATTTATTTTACCTCGTTAACCATACAAGAATCCATTTCCTCTTTTGTAACTGGTGCTCCTCCTCTTTTATTGTTCTGACAATAAAGCAAAAACAACTTATTTTAACCAATAATTATGGCACAGGGCATTGGTGTCATAGAATTGGTGTGATAACTATTTTTTTTATTTATTCTTTCTTTATACTGAATATACACTTTCAATACATAGTACTGATTTCCAAAGTGGTTCAGTTCTTATCTACAAAAACATTTTAAAAGCAGAAAATAACAAAGAGAGCAAAAACTTAACTACAAATTTTAAAAAAATATATATATATTAAAATATATATATATATATA